CCCCCCCCCCCACCCCCTTGCCAACAAACAGAATAACTTATTTGAGAACATCTCAAAGATGTTGGCAGACAATAAATTAACACAATTCTCTTTTAAACTACTTCATAGGATACTATAAATTATGTAGTAACCAAAAAGGAACTTACATTAAACCTGATGATGAATGTTTTTTTTGCAAATGCCCAGATTTTCTTGAACACACATTCCTGGCTGTTCTGTTGCCAGGGACTTTAACCACCAATTAATGATGATGTGGTCCAACAATGAACAAAAATCCCAAATTAATATGACTAAGCAGCAGATCTTTTTTAATGATTACACACCAGCTGCAGGATCACAAGGGCTACTGAGGTGGAAATTTGGAATTTTCATAATACTAATGAAGAAGTATATAGATGTACAACTGTAAAATGATGGAAAAATTCCCACTAGGTAATCAGTTCAAACAAAAACTAAATATTCAGTTGAAAATCAATGGAAGTTAAATGGCTAGGACCTACACTGTAATACCCTGACTTTGTTGGATAATGCAAAGCTGCAGTAGGGGTAGGGGGCAAGGAACCACCATAAGGCATCCCCCTTGATGCAGCTCATGGGTCAGGGGAAGGGTATTGAAAATGGATGCTGCTAAGCTGTAAGAATTTGAAGTGATTTAATACAAAGCTAGCAGCCTCATGCAAACATGTAGTAGGCCAGCATATTTGTGAGTGACTTAGTATTACATGTATACTGCTACATTTATTGGATGAAACACAATATTGTACATTTACATGTATTTTCCATCAGTGATCACATGTGATGCATGTACCTGCCTAAAGCACTGGAATGACATTGAGTTATTTTGGTGTTTACAAGGTACATGTACATTGTAATTCCTCTTCCTGTAAAATGGTTGCCTTGTAAGCACATTTCTTTCACATTCTGAATGAACTTAATATTCTATTTACTTATTTCATGTCAGATTCCATCATGGAAAATACCAGTGAGAATGGCTGCTGTGACGCCTGACCAAAAAAGTTCAATGATATCAGTTGCTCAGGTGAGAAAATCTTTCAGTTTCTTTATTACATATATTCTTGTACAGTGTGACTGTTTGACATCGGTTCATTTCTGTTCAGTTCTGTTCCCAAACATCTGCTTTCTCGCCCCACCACCCCCTGCTTCATCAAGTTTTTGCTCTCACTCTAATTTACGCGTGGCTTGAATGTGGAAAAGCTCTTTGTACGGGAACTCTTGCTATGCAGGCTAATGGCCAGCTACCTGAGCTGGCAAGTAACTGTTTCAAACTTGACTAGCCTGAAGCACGAAGCCCAGCCTTCCCAGACTTTTTTTTGCATCACTCTTGAGGCCTAGTCAATCCTGAATTAGTGTTTACAGGGACATGTACAAGTTGCGGTGGTGTGGATCTGCATAATTCGTTAACATCTGCATCCTTTGCATAATCAGAGCTTTTTTCTGCATAAAACAGAAAAAGTGTTTCATAGTAGCGATAAAGTAGCTGATTATAATTACCATCCTACAAGTAAAAATTCTGAAGAGATTGATTATTTTGAAGTAGTTTTTGTCCTAAATTAGCAACAAAAACACCTGATTTTGTTTGTGACAAATTTTTAACCTCCAGGCGTTCCTACCTACTTTAGGCGAAGAGCCTGGAAACTAGTTTTTCATCATCTGACGTAATGCCTGGTTACTTAGTAACAGATGTTCCAAGGACGTAACAAGGAATTCTTTCCACCAAATTCTACGGAAAACATGTGTTAAAGAAATACCTGTCAAAAAATACCATATTAATCAGATCAAGCATATGTCAAAGTTGGCAGGCATGATTTAATAAGTTTATTCTAATAGTTTACCTAAATGGTACAAAAGGATGCAAGGACTGTCAATGCAGAGCGAGGTTGTTCCCATATACAGAACTCAGGATCATTGGTAACAAACTAATTAACTTCTTGGATTACAGCACTCAGCAGCACTAAGCTTATAATTCATAACAATTTTCATCGCTCTCTTATGGATGAAACTCACGTTCAAGTACACCTGGAGTTTCCAGAAACTTCTCCTATAAAGAATTAAATAGCATTGTTGCAAGGTTTCTACATGTAAATACAAATATCACATGAGAAATAGAACATTCCAGAAGGTTTTAGGTCACAGCTGAATGACTTCCAGTTTAAGATTTTTATTAACAACAACAAGCCGTAATTTTTGCCAAGGATTGGAATGAAGTATGCTCTTCCCCCATGTAATTTCCAAAATGTTGAGTAAATTTGTGCAGATAAAAAAATATAAATGGCACTGGTGAAATCTGTAGTTATTTAAAATAATGTTAGCTTCAGCAGATCACAAATAAGACTTGGTGAGAGGGAACTCTACTTCAAACTATAAAACAGTTTAACATCATCAATGGCATAATACAACATTGAGCCTTTTTCGTGAGTGATTACAACTGGTTTACTTTTTCACATCTGGTTTTGAGAGCTTTAATACTAATGCACTGATACTAATGGTAAGCTAACATTAAAATTTTGAAACTGATGACACGTGGTTCTCTATCACGGCAGGCGCCTTTGACCTACTAACTTCTTCGTTTCTGCAATTTTCCAAATGACTTCTGTTAGTATTAGTTGAGACTCTACCAGAGTGTTTTGTTGGATATTATGGACTGATGCTCCTGTTGTTCCCGACAGCTTTCATCCCAAGCTTGCTTTCATCAATCAAAGAGTGAGAGAACACATGGAAAAAAGTGCATCCTAATTCTTCCATTCACGCATAACCACAGTTCATTGTGTCTTTGATCTTACCGCCAACCACAACTCCTTGTGTTTTGCATGAAGTGGTTGATTTCCCCTATATTGTTAGTATTATTTTACGGATTAGATCTACTGCCTCGTTTGTTCACCTCAGGCTCACTCACTGTGGCAGCAATTAAAGAGCTTAAACTGTTGGTCCACTGTTGTTCATGATCAGTACATTGGAAATTGTCAATTTTGTTAACTGTTGAAGTTTCCGCATCATCCAGTATGTTTTCTGCATAATCTACACATTATTTTTACCGCGTTTGCCCCTAGAGAAATTTGCGAATTATTTTTTATTTTTTCCACAACCTGTGAGATGGCATGATTTATTTAGTCCTCACCAACTTTAGCTACAGTGTTGCATTGTGCAGTACATATACATGATCAGCTCAAAGTGAAGTTGTGGAATTAAGAAAGAGCGGGTTGCCACAGGTCAGAAAATGGTCAGGGAAAAAATTCTTCAAGGTCAGGGAATTTTGTTTTGAGTCAGGGAAAATTGATATTTTGAAGAAAATTCAGAGAAAGTGGAAAAGTTGAGACCAGAAGCCACTACTACATGTAGATCTGACATTTTGTATTTATCTGGTCGGCGAATCACAATCTTCTTAATTTTTTATCAGGGAAAAGTCAGAGAATTTTGAAAGTGAGGCCTCAGTGGCAACCATGGAAAGACAAATAATAACTTGCTTACATCAAACCTATTTCAGTAATCCTCCTCAAACATGTCACCATAAAGTTCTAAAAACAGCAACTCTCTTTTATTTCAGATGTAGCATATTTCCTTGCTATCATTACTATAGGTTCAGCTTGTTGTATCTGTTATTTTTATCATTTGTCACAACAAGTGAAATTACATTGTTTAATTTGAGGTTGCTAGTTGCTGATTACTTTCAGAGTACTGCTACTTTCAGATTGATTAATTAAAGTTCATGAATTATTTTTGTAAAGTTTAAATAGTGAACGTAATGTAAAACTTGCATGTAACTCTATTATTCCTATTCCCATGGTATCGCAATTCTGAGTAGTACACAGTTTGTTTTCAACATCTACATGTATAGTCTTGACACTGATTAGCTCACAGCTTGTTTTCAACATTTATAGTCTTCAAACTGATTAGCTCACAGCTTGTTTTCAACATTTATAGTCTTCAAACTGATTAGCGCACCTGTAGGTTGGTTTTGACATCTATAGACTTGACACTGAATAGTACACAGCTTGTTTTCAACATCTGTAGACTTGACACTGAATATTACACAGCTTGTTTTCAACATACACGGTATAGACTTGACAATGAATAGTACACAGCTTGTTTTCGACATCTGTAGACTTGACACTGAATAGTACAGAGCTTGTTTTCAACATCCATAGACTTGACATTGAAAAGTACACAACTTGTTTTCAACATCTATAGACTTGACAATGAATAGTACAAAACTTGTTTTCAACATCTATAGTCTTGACACTGAATAGTAACCAGCTTGTATTCAACATCTATAGACTTGACAATGAATAGTACACAGCTTGTTTTCAACATTATTCTATAGACTTGACATTGAAAAGGACACAGCTTGTTTTCAACATCTGTAGACTTGACAATGAATAGTGCACAACTACAGACTAGACACTGAATAGTACACAACTTGATTTCAACATCTACATGTACAGACTTGACATTGAAAAGTACATACTCAGCTTGTTTTCAACATCTATAGTCTTGACACTGAGTAATATACAACTTATTTTCGACATCTATAGACTTGACACTGAATAGTACACAGCTTGTTTTCAATGTCTATAGACTTGAAACTGAATAGTACACAGCTTGTTTTCAACATCAGTTCTATAGAAGTACAGAGGTTGTTTTTGGCATCTATAGTCTTGACACTGAATAGTACACAACTTGTTTATGGCATCTATTAGACTTGATGTACTGAATAGTACACAGCTTGTATTTGACATCTATAGTCTTGACCCGGAATAGTGCCCAGGTTGTTTTTGGAATAGATCTATAGTCTTGACATTGAGTAGTGCATGTAGCTTGTCAAACCAAACAGAAAAATATTGCCTTTGTAACAACATTCATCTAAAGCAAATAATAATATGAGGTTATTTTGGTTCAGCTTGTTGTATCTGTTGTTTTCATTGATTCTCATAACAAGTCAAATTACATTAAATTGTGAGGTCACTACATGTACTTTTTGAATGGTTATTACTTTCGAAGTGTCGCTACTTTCAGCATTTTGTATACAACCATGACATTTAATCGCTTCTTTCATAGGGGGATATTACCTTAAGTTAATGCATGCAAAGTCATTTTGTATAGGTTAGTAACTACAGGTATTATGTACATGTTTAGTAAATCTAGCACGTAACCCAAATTATTCTTAATTCCTTGGTTATTGCCATTTTATCATGTCAGTCAAGCAGGTTGCTGGTATCTATTTATAATCCTGGGTGAGTTAAGTTTAACTGTTTGAGTGAAGTGCTGTGTTCAAGAACATTAAACTAGAGGACATTGCAAAGGCATCTTATTCTGAGGACCATTTTACTTAGTGTAAGTTATGCCACTGCACCATAAATAATTGTACAATATCTAAATTTTTGTATTTCTTCTTTTGAACAGCTGAAGTCAAAATACCTCAGGACAAGACAAGAGGAGGATATTATCCATAAGCTTATTGTAGATTGATGATTCTATTGCAATCCAGGACCAGGTAAACACTTGTGTTCTTATGCAATGATCAAATCAAAACATAACCTGGTTCCTTCAGGGGATTATCCCCCATAGGGCGTCCTTACAGGGTACCCCAAATCATCAAAAATAGGATCATCAAATTCTAGGGCAGGAAAAAATTAAAATGTACCACTTTTTTCCCTTTTTTTAAATGATGCACTATTATTATAGGTTGCCACAGGTCAGGATCCAAATTGTCAGGGAAATTTTTATTTTTCAAAAGCGGGGAAAATTCAGGGATAAATGGAGAAAATGGGAAGGTTCCCTTTTGTACACCTTGGAAAAAAAAAAACTAGACCAAACTACTAACTCACTCCATTCAAATTAAAACCCATAGTACAACACACTTTCAACACCTGACCACCAAACTAACTAAGAACAGATACTGCTCAACTTACAGTTTTAGGGGATGACACTTCAAAAGTGGCATGGTGAAATGTTTCTTATATTGTTATCAAATTTTGATAAGCATGATAAGACTCAACTTTTGGCAAAGTTTAACAAAATTTCGTACTTAGGGTTCAGAGCCACCTTAAATTTTCAAAACTTTATAACGACCCATCAAAATCTAACTGCTGGAAACTGTTTTGAGCCACCTTAATGAAATTTCCTGATCAACTGACTGACAATGTTTCGCTTGACCAAGATGACTTCTGCAAAGCATCAGTCCTTTCACACTAGGCAAACTACTGAATGCCACTTCAAGTTTTTTCCCTGTGCTTGGCCACTGGACCACAGTTGTTTCTTTGTCACCTCGGAATGGGACAGTCACTTCCTCAATCCCACTCACACACACTCATCCCCCATTCTCCAACCCTGTCGTGACTCACTATTATTTTCCAAGTTTAAATAATTATGTTAAGGTTTAGTTTTGAGTTGATCATTGCATTCTGTGATGTAAACCAAGTTCTGCTTTTAATTTTGAAACACCACAGACATGCCTGCTTGGTCATAATTTAAAATGCACTGGCTCGGTAGATAAAAGTAGTTTTTACAGTGGATAGCATTTCTTTTGGTTTTATTCTGTGTTTTTATGTAACTGTATTTCCTCCTTGAAACCCCTGCAGGACTTCCTGATTATTTTGTGTCCATACATTTTTGTAAATTGAAGTAATATATCAAACACGAAAGACTGTGTTTGACCACCTTTCCAAACACCGAGAAGAGGTATTTGGAAATGTGGTCAAACACTGTCTTGAGTGTTTGATATATCTTCTCAATCGAAACCAAAACTAAGGAGAAAACGGAGAAATCGTAGAAGATCTGTGCTAATTAAGATCAGATATCCAAACATTGTCACGGTCATGATTTCCATTGTTTAAACTTGATAAATGATTAATGAGTTTGAGAAGCTTTTTGGAAGAAGGGCTTCAATTATTTTAATATCACCTCAGACCATAATGTCTGCATGTTGGTTAGAAAGCAGATTTGTAAAGACTACATGTACCTTATGGGAGTGGAGACTCATTACAATCAATGCTTCCAGTTCAAGTGTGAGAACACTTCTGAAAGAAGATGACTTATCATTTCATTCATTCTTGTTCTGCATACATGTGCATGTATATTTGAAGATATTTCTGCAGTCCAGTTATAAAGGCAATTTTTTTCTCAAAAACTTTCCTCTCTATCTGTTGATTAACCATTTCAAAACAACAAATAAAAAGAGACTTCATTTTGTGTTCAAATGAATTTTTATTGACATGTTGAACAAAAACTCTGTTGCCACAGTGTCTTCATACATTTCATTGCATAAAGAAAGTGATTAGAATTTGGCAAATTGATAATTGAGTAACTGCCAAATTGAAGACTCCTTATTAAAATATTTTAAGGACTGACTGATTTTAACAGTGGCTGTTACAGTTGACAACTAGAATAAACTTATTGAGTACAAATTGTTATTACTTTCTGAAAAGCTGTTTTACAAAATAATTCTATGGCTTGCATGTGATTTTTTTGAACAATTCTGTGTTTATGTTTATTCACGTTATTATTCACATTCTTCTCTGAGGTGTTATCCACTTTCAACAAA